TTCATTCATTTCAAATTTTTTATTTCATTGCATTCTATTATAAGAGATAATTAAAGTTGTTAAGATGCATTTAATTTTTTTTTTCTGTTTTTCAACCGCGCTGTATTCATTTATTTAAGATATATACACATTTCAGCATTATTGAATTTCATATCTCCGCACAATTCTAAGGTATTTGTTCAGGATTCTATATTTTTTTGTACGACATATAATGATATAGTGAACATATGTCCTGTTGTTTACCATAGCGCGATTTTTATTTCGTTCTTGTTCAAAAACCTTAGGATTGCAACTTACAGTTGGTAATTACTTTAGCAATAAAGTGTCAAAGCCCTACGATTCATTTCAAAAGTACCATGTGAACACGTATTTTGGTACAAACACAGGGACTTGGGTGGTAGAAAACCAGGGTTTGAATTTCTTGGCCTTAATAAATGAAAAAGAACCACATATAGATTTAAAAGCCAGGAGGATATATGATTGGCAAAACAAAGGCACAGTATTGGCTGCAGACTGGCACGCCATCATTGGGCCAATGCTGGGCCAGTACTGGCTACGGATTATTTACCTGCCATCATTGGGCCAATGCTGGGCCAACGTTGATAATCAGCATTGGCCCAATGCTGAGAAAGCCAGCAATTAATCCCGATTTTTTGCAGCATTGGCCCAATGCTGGCCCAATGCTGGCATGTTACCTGGGTAAGCATTTTTTAGTATTGGATTACAATACATTTTCTTTATTCTCGAAAGTGTCCCAGCTAAGACAGATCCTAACTAGTTAGGATAGAAGTTAGGACATCCTAACTTTAAGATAAGACCCATTCTCGAAACGATCCTATCCCTGTCCTAACTTGAGCTTCCGATCCTAGCTAGGATAGCGAGCTCTTCAGTCGGTGAAGATAGAAAAGCGAAGGGATTTCCCATATGACGTCACAGCTTTTTGGGAAATCCCCGAGCAGACGTCAAAATGTCAAGCTCAAGCGAGATGGCGACCGCAGAAAAGAAAGCGAGAAAAGTCAACTGGACTCGGAACGAGATGGATTGTTTAGTTGATGAGGTGGAGAACCATAAGTCTGTTTTATTTAGCTCATTTTCATCCGTTGTTACCAACAGCAAGAAGCAACAGATTTGGAAGGACATATCAAACAGGTGAATATAATTTTTTGATCTCGATCAGCTCGTAAATGTAAACAATGCAATGTCAAAGTAACACTCATTTGCTCTGTTGGTCATTTTAGTCAAAATTATTGTTTTCACAGGCATGTGCTAATTGCAATTTCTCCTCGCGAAAAATAATCCAAAATAATTTTATCTGATTATATTTTTAGCAATCCCACAGAAATGGCTAATGTTATTGATCAAAATATTTTGATGAGTGAATTTCAGAAAGACAGTAGATATTTTATCATGAGCTCTGAGTACTGATATGATTTTATTCAATCTATTCTTTTGATAATAAATTATACTGTTTTACAGTATATTACATGCTACTAAAGTTTTCATAACTGATAAGAAAAGATTAGAATGTCTGCAGTGAAGTACACATTGAATGTATGTTTAAATCCTATTGTATTTTTTTTTCTCAGAGTCAGTGCTTGCGGGTCCTCTATCCGCTCATCAGAGGATGTGAAAAAAAAATGGACCACTCTAAAGTAAGACTACATGAAATATAATATTCATGTACTAAGTAAGAACAGTAAACCTATCTAATATATTATAAGGATGCCTTCAATACTTGGGCTTTAACTTTGACAAACAAGCTGAAACAGAGAACTAACTTCCAAAGGATAATTGTATTTATTAAAATAACATCTTTGTGAGAACCTTAAAATCTACTAAAACTGAAAATGTACATATTTAGTTTTACAATAATTGAATTTCTGACTGATAATTTTCTTTGAAGAAATGAATGTATCAAGGTCAGTGTTATTTGAATCTAAATGATCTTAAAGATGGAAATAATTTGATATAATGTACTTTAATCTGTAACAGGAGCGACACAAGGAGGGAAAGCCACTAGCCTAAAGAAGGCTATATTCCAGACAGGCGGAGGGCCACCACCCATCTCCACTGAGTGACTTTGAGTATAAGGTATATTGCATAAATCTATATTTGTATGAGGAAACTTAAGTAATGAAATTATAAAATTATGAATTTAAAAACTTGATTAATACTGGATGTTGTTGATATGAGAATGTATAAATCAATGATATTTTCAGTATCATGGTACTGTCACTTTTTTGTACTGTTTACCTGCACATGTCTCAAGTTAAATTTTTGCATTGTCACACCTGTAACAATGTGTCTATGTATAATCAAATTTATGCTTTTGTTTAATTTCTGAAAAGTTCATTTAATTTTTACAGGTGGTGTCCCTCATTCCATCTGTTCAAATCAATGGTTGCACAGGGGGCTGGATAGTGAAGACATGTCAGGTATTCATCTGTTATCATAAAACACTTATGATATACAAGTAATCACCAAGTAATGTGTGAAATTAATGTTTTGTATAAGTGACAGTATGGGGGCCTATAGCATAAATTGCATAATGATAAGTTGTGCCCTAAAATATTTGCAAACCAGGAACTTACCTCTTTGTTTAAGTGTCATGTTTTTTTTTAAATATTCCAAATAAATTTTTATATTTTTGTTAAAGAATATACTTGCAAAGGTATTCTGACATAAAAGACATTAATTTCCAGCCTTCTCAGGATTGGGCAGTGTGTTGTGTGATGCAGCTGTTCCCTCGACTTCAAGTAGCAGCAACAATTTGAATGTCAACTCTGCCCGGACATCACCTATCCTACTGTCCTGCACTCCACCTCGACAAGCAGCACCACCAACACCGCATGATCCACCAGCATCGTTCCAATTGTCACCAGTCATAGGTAATAATGTCACATCGCAAATCATGATAATTATAGATTTATCTCGTTTAGATTTGGTGCGCAAAATTGGACAATAACCTCAGACTAATATATAGAGGATATTTGGTGTTTTCAGTGTGATATCACTTACTACGTCACTCAATGAGAGATCAGTGATATTCCAATGAAAATAAATAGAAAATATGTCCATTCTTCACAAATGCAATGTTTATCAGTCCATAAATACCTTTAATAAAAATTCCAAGATTTAACTTCCAGATTTCCAAGTTCCAGTTCAATACTATTTTCTTATAGTAATGGAAGAATTATGTATACATACTGCATTTATAATTTGATGCAGTCAAAAAATAATTTAATGTTATTACATTCAAATTCTGCAATATATCCTTGAAAACAATTATATTGTGAATTTTCTTTGTAGTTTCAAGACCTACGAGTAAGAAACAAAGACAAAAGTTCATACACATGGTAATTATTAACCTTAGTAATGTCAATGAGTAATATTTCGTAATGATTGTATGATAAGTTTTTCAAAGATGAAATTGTCTCATATGTTAACAATTTGATATACCAGTTCAACTTTACAAGGTACAATGCAATCAATGAGTATTGCAAGTAAGTTCCTTTATAGTAAAAAAATACAAAGGAAAAACAAAACAATGTTTGTATCTGAAATTGTTGAAATTTATTGTGGATATGACATGATTGTTGTTTGTTTTTAGAAGACAGTGCAGCCCAGGCAGCTGAAGTGGTCCAGCTTGAGAGGGAGAAGGTGGCCATCATGCGGGAACAGCTTGCAGATCGATAGAGAGCGCCTGCAAGTTGAAAAAAGAAATACTCAATGAATTGCGGCTGATGAGAAAAACAGGCAGATCAGAATGTAACTCCCATGTGCATCTCACCGATCATCACATTTGACTCTTAAATGTATATACAATACTTTGCTGTTAGGAAATTCTTACAATGAAGTGAACTTAATCCATATTGTCATATGTTGGGGATGTGAGTAGTTCAAGCTTGTTCGAGTTGTCCTGTTAAATTATCAAGTACCATTGGTTGTTAATAATTTGTATGAAATCATTTGTTGTTACAGAAAATATGTACCTTAACTGCAGGCTAGAACTTTAGGAAAATATCATTAATACACTAAGAAAGAGTAATCCCAAATAAAACATATGTTACATTACAAATATCATTATCAAAATTTCATGTCTTAAATCTTAGAAGAGAAATGTACATGATAACAATAATAGTTTATGTCATTATTGTCATGAAGGCAATGTCAAGGATGAGTGTCATGAACTTTTCATTTGTAAAAGTTTTAATTTTCTTAGAAACAGATACCTCCCTATGTTCACAACTTTGTACAAAGATAATCAACTAATGGAAAACTTATTAAACTCAAAAATATCAATCTAATATTATTTTTTCAAATAGAAGTTCATTTATGTATATATATTTCTATTTTAACTATACTGTACAGTGTAAAAAACAACTACAAGTGTACTGTAATAGGTCATATTGGCTAAAATACTGAATAAACCTTCCATGTGTCTGCTGATATAATGGTTTTGTGAAAATGAATCTATTTATTGTACCACCACTTGCACAGGAGTTGGTATACATGTCCCTAAAATTGTTTTTCACTCAATCCGTCCAATTGTTTATGCCATGCATATCTCAAACATCAACTGTTATTTTACTGAATATTTTACTGAAACATTCCATAGATGGTTCAGTGGTGTCTTTGATGAAATTTATCATCAAAGTCCTATTTTCCTTATCTGCAGAATAATGTTATGATTGATTACTAGATTTAAGTTTTACATTGTTCCAATGATTCATGATATTGGCAATTGACAAACTTGCAATGTATGTGAGGTACAAATGTATTTTGATTATTCATATGGTGAACTAGTTATGGCATTGAATTCTCTTATCATATTCTGAAATATATCCTTGAAATTAATTATTAAAAAGATTGAAAAATGTATATATTTTGACATTTTAATGATACTAAATTTACTTAAATAAAATGTTTGGATGAAATTGGTTATGAAATTTACACATTCATTTGATGTACATATGAAGTTGAAGTTTGTGCCTTTGGATAACCCAGAAATTTGAAAAAATGAACAAGTTTAATGATGCTTTGCAATGTTCCTATTTACAAATACAACAAGTCCTTATCAAAATACCAGTGTACATTCATAACATAAGATGTATGTACTTAGTGTATTTTCCATTGTTAAATTTATTAAAAGATTATATTTTTATCAAAAAATTGGTTATTTATTTCTCTTCATGCCGACATCTACAAGGAAAACAAATGAACTGTTGTAAAAACTTACCATATATGTTAGTTGAAAGTGCTTTCTATCAAGCGTTTCCTTGTCTGGTGTCCATCTCTAAGTGGACCGTCATATGGCTGGTCATTGCCATCCTCTGCAGGTAGGGCTGGCATGGGTGGAAGGCGATGGTTGATACACAGGTTGTGTAGCTGGCACACACCATACACGAGCTGATGACACTTGTCTGGTTTGAAAGGCAGGCAGCCCGTTGACTTGTGTAGGCATCTAATTATTATAGAGAACCTACTACATTCATGTTAAAGCTATATCAATTTATCGATACCTCAGTAATTGAAAGTTCCATTTATAGGTTTTGGCGCTATATCTGTAAAAGATAGTCTCCTTACTCTATCAGACTCTAAATATATGGATAATTTTTCCAATATTTTCATACTTTCTGTTAAACTTCATTTTGCAAAATGGTTTAATTCTTTGTAAGTAAATGACAGATTCATGCCTTCAGTTTTGATATAAATGAACTTTTAATCTTTTGTTTAACACCTTGAGATTATATATTTTTAATTATTTATTTTTCTTATTCTGAAATATTATTTTCATTATGATAATCGAACTAACCGAAACCGAGACTTCATTAGGCCAAAAGCTCTTTCCACTGTGTTCCTTGTTTTACAGAGCGCTCAGTTAAATCTCTCCTCTCCTTGTGTCTGGGGGTGGCTCAGGGGTGACCATCCATGGTCTGCAGGCATATCTGCAGGATTTTGTAGATGTACACACAAATGATTTATAAGAGAAATGTGAAGACAATGTTAGTAAATACAACACAAATTTAAACTGGATGTATTCTTACTCTTAGTAAATGGAATTATCAAGTACATATATTTTATTTATGAAACTTCACTCATTTTAAGCTATGTTATTCCAAAATGATAATCAAATTTACCCTGAATCTCAAGCAACCATCCATTTCTACCTCCAGACTCTTCTAGGTAGCTTCCAATTGTACTATTATTAAAGATGTAGCTATCATGTGTTGCGCCTGGCCATCTGCATACAACATTGGTGAACCTGTAATAACACAACATACATTTTACCAACATACCAAGAAGAGAAAATCTTGCTGCCGGATTACAAAACTTTATGTGATGCTAATGCTAAAATATACATGTCCAGGATATATGCAATATGCACCATAGTTTAAATTTCCTTTCCAATATATAATTCATAACCCATACATGTAAGGAATAGTACACCTCTATCTCCAATTGTGTACTCATTTCTTCATGTAAACAATAATCCATGAACATGTCATTTACATCCTTTGCACCCAGTCAATGACATTACAGTGTACAATTCCAGTTTTATTTTTTAGACGTTTTCATTAGAATAAAATAACTGTGACACCTCAAACGGGCCTCTCAAGCTTTAAATTCTAAAAATAGATATTCAAATTAATCACTCAATGTCAAGGTTATAGATTGTGAAATAATCACTTCCGCATTTGACTTGCATCAAAATATTACTGTGTTCTCTGTAAAACTTGTACAGTAGAATTGTATCCATCCAGTTTTACGTATGCAGGTATGATTTAGAAAGTTATGAGTGCTTTCATACTGACCTTAGATCTCCGTCGCATATGGCTTGGATGTTTACAGCGTGAAATCCCTTTCGGCAAACATACGCTGCCTCCTCGCATGCTTGTGGACGGACGATTGCAATTAGAGTACCGTCGATGCAGCCAAGCACATTGGGAAAGCCAGCAAGTGCGTGAAACACCTGTTTGACTTCCCGCTGTGAGGTTGCATCTTTAGGAAAACGTATACGGTCTAGTTTCCGCGACAAGATGTCTACAGTGGTACCAATTGCACGGGAGACAGTAGGCTGTGAAACCCCGTGCAAATCAGCCAATTCCGACTGGAAACCACCCTTCCCCAGGTATCTAAGGGTTATTAGTACTTGAAGATCGGGGTTTAGGGCTCTTGAACGCTGTGTAGCTCTCTCTAGCTCGGGTCGACACAGCTCTATCACCTCTTGAATCGCTCGCCTTGACAGGCGGTATCGATTAACCAACTCCGCATCGTCGAATAAATCGAGGGGCGCAGTCCGGTTACGATATATCCTTTCGGCATTCTTCTTACAGTCATTCTTTCCCCCAAACATTGCATGAACAAACAAGTACGACGCCATATTGTTTTCGTCTAGGATTTATTTAGGACAAGTCAGACCCTATCCTAGTATTTGTCCTAAGTTAGGATATCCTAGCGCTAGGATACTTTTAGAGAATAAGGTAGGACACCTATCCCAGACCCTAGGATCAAAGTTAGGATATCCTAGCGCTAGGATCCTTTCGAGAATAGGGGCCCAGGTCGATAACTTCCTCTAACATTAAACCACCCTTTACAAGCTCACCTATCATATTTGCTAACATCAGAGACTATCGGTTTTTAACATTGCAAGTCTCTTGCGGAGCGCTTGGTCACAATTCGATTTTTCGATAGTAAGATTTACATTTAACATCACAGCCCGTCATTGAAACCACAACATGTTTGTCACCTCAATATACAGATGAGAGACATCATTAGTCCAGTTGCCATCCATTTCACAGAAGTCCATAATGGACAAGTTGATAATGATAATGTCGGTGATTTTTTAACTACAAAACTCGAATAGGAACACGTCGGGTTCAAAACATCGCGATTAGGAACGGCAAGTTAAGATATTCACGGCTAACGTGTGAATGATCAAAATCGGATATGAATAAAATGTGGCATTCAACATGATCCCTACCGTCAACCTGCACTTCGCAGAAATCCAAAATGGGTACAGCGTCACCATTGTTTATTGTAGTGGTGTACAGGACCAGATAACGCCCTTTACCAGAACACGTGACGTTCAAAACATCAAGTATGTCTGATCCGTCTCCCTTCCCTGTCACGTTGTAGCAGTTGACTCCATTAGTTGCGGAAGCGGCAGTGTCAGCTATGTAGACCTGGATACCATTCCGACGAACCTTATCTGTAAAATGTCAAAATTAATCAAAGTGCCCTTATTAGTATATGTACATGCAGGAGAATAGGATCATACATCTTTAAAACCTTAAATAGGTAAATGTACATCTCGGTATATCCTGCGATATGACAGTCTGTCATGAGGTTAAGTGGTGGGCTTCAGTGGGGCTGGGATTAGGGAGGATAGAGGTGGGTTATTCATGGTCACGGCGGTCGTTAGTTATTTCTTAACTGCGTTTTTAAAGTCCATTCATTGCTCTCGACGACTTACAACTGCAACGGCGGACTCTCATGAATGGACAATCGCTTGTATTATACACGCAGCTTTCAACGGTTGCACAATCACTTTAAACTGCATATTATTATAAATAACAACTTACATTATAATTTCAAAAGTTAGGTAATCATTACGTGCATGCGTTCACCCAAAAACTGACCTGATGTAAGCTACATTTACATTAATCCTTGAACATAAGTAGATGTATGTGTAGATGTAGGAGGTCTTGTCAGATACCCAAAGATCATTTGTCAAACATCTCAGAGCTGAGCAAAAACAATCTTTTTGGACTTAGGTACACTGAAACAATGCCGTAAAGATGTCGTCTACACCAGTTGTTGTCTGACATACACTATGCTGAGAACTGACCACTGGTTCTGTGTACCTTTATGGGGAGATGGTGTACACTGGACTAGTAGGATGTAAGCTACTCACAGTCTGTCCGGAAGTATATGGTGACGTCATGTATCGGTGTTGTCTTATTCAGATCCACTCTCCACCACGCAACGTTTATACCGTCATTGTATGCTGAATGAAAGCAGTAGCGATAGTCGTTCGCTATGGTGTTTCCGTCTACAGCGTTACCTGCTGCCATAGAGGTACTGCTGGCCGATGTCGGCTTATCGAGTGCTTTGTTATCTGTCATGAAATATCACGCCAGAGATCATGCATAATACCATGTTTCAAAATAGCATTAAAATGTTTAGAGATATTCTATGTCCGGGAAAATAACAGGGCGCATTTAGATTATGATTTACCTTCATATAACATAAAACTGCAGTAGTACAGAATTTAACGGATAACAACGTCTAGTATCCATCGACAGATGTTCATTTACGTTATGGCTAAAGTAAAGTCACATCAACGCACCTATTTACACACAATCACGAATGTCTAGTGAAATACTGTGATGAAGAGGGGGATTTTAAGGAGAGACTCGTAATCTTTTTGTTTGTTTGTTTTGGGTTTAAAACTGTTATTCTTTTTAAACTCGTAAACGTCTTTAGAAATCGTTTTACTTGGTTCAGAAAGCAGAGAGTTCCATAACATTGGACTGCAAACTAAGAAGGTTCAATCAGTAGAAGTACAGAAGTAGACAGAGGCTGATGAAGTAGAGCTGCACGGGAGAATAGCAAGTTCCCAAGAATAAAGGGAGATGAAATCCTGAATATATTATGGATAGCTGCCGGGACAGTTATGGGTTGTAATACAGATCTTGAAAATCATTTGAGAGAAGACTGAAATCCTGTGCAAGGTTTTGACAACAGGAGTGATGTGTTGAGATCTAAGACTCCTTTAGATTCATCTGAATTCTAAGATTTGCATAAAAGGCCTTGCAATAATATAGACTGAAAACAGACGGAATCAACAATTTGGTATCCTGCCATTAGCGTTGTGAACTTGGTTGATGATATATATTGAATAAACAGGGACATGTGGACGCCCATGGTCAGTGGTTGATAACGTTGCTTCACACATTGTAAGGAAATCGTGCACAAAATTGTACACAAGGTTATGCTACTAGAAGTAAGATTTTTATTATTCAGTGATCGCAGGTTTGAATCCTACTTGGCCGATTAAATATGTATGGCTCGCCAGATCTATACCAGTACTTGCTCGACCACATTAATTGTTGGGCTTTCTCACACATAAACCTTATATACCCTGATATAAATGAAGTACTTTTGAAGTGTCCGTTAAAGCGGTGTGGTTACTATCTTCATGAAAGTCGTTATACGTGAGACGATTAAATCTAATATGAAATGAATCATTGTTTCCACTTAAGTCTCGCTATGGATTCCAGTAGCAGTATAATGCAAGCAAAATATTTGAGAAAATGAGCACGTGAACTATTTCTGTTTATCGAGTGCCTGTATATATGTATGCCAGCAAGCAGATTCGAATTAGCAACTCAACTCTGATGATTTAGAAGAAGAAATGCACATTCAATGAGATTCAAAGAAAATTGCTTTACTTTTCTGGCATGTTGGTCCTGACCATCCTTTGATGCAAGCCTGAGATCTGCATCCATCTGTAACGTTACACGTGTTAGCCTGACAGTGACAGCTGTATCCACACAGGTAGCCATACGTACCCGGTAGGCAGCTGCCTGTAACATATAGACATTATATCTGAGCGACAGGGACAACGTATGCCTATGTATATACCTACGGTTACCTGTATGGTATCAGAGACTTAAAAGTTTAAGAGTATCCATTGCATCATACTATACGATGTCCAATGCTCAATGTTGATGTGACATTGGAAGGGGTGTTGTCCTTTCTAATAATCGTGTAATGACCAAAGATGATGTGCTTGCTTTATTACAAAAAGTATAGGGATACTATGCTTGTAACATGACTGGCTTCGTATAATGACAGGCTATATTAATTGTATGTCTGCATGATGACTAACTACAGGGATTATATGCGTGCGAAATGACAATCTGCATTGATTGTATGATGGTGCAATGACTAGAGATGGAGTCTTGGAGTTATGCCTTGGTGAAATCAATGTCCATGTATACTAACCACATAAAGAAACTGTGCATTGTCAAAATATTATCCCAGTTGATAAGTACGATACCAGTGTCAAAGGTACATATAAACTTTAATGGAGGGATCATGAGACCATAACAAGTCGGGAGAATTTCAATTGAAAAGTCAATCACAATGACGTCACGAGTCCACAAGCGGGGCAGGGGTCAAACGACCATGTCACAAGCTCAATAACGGGTATGTCCACCATCGGCATCGAGAACAGCAATGCGTCGACGACGCATAGAGCCTACCAGACGTGCAAGGAAGGCTTGTGGATGTCACGCCAGTTCTTTCAAGTTCTGTTGCAAGGTCAAGGACGTTATTTGGCGGATGAGGAAGTCGGCGTAGACGTCAATCCATCTCGTCCCAAACATGCTCTATCGGGGAGAGATCCGGTGAATTTGCAGGCCAAGGCAGTAAGTCAACGTTGTTACGTTGCAAGAAATCCATAGCAACCCTTGCCGTATGAGGGCGGGCATTATCCTGTTGGAATGTTAACCAAGGGCCATGCTGTTGCAGAAAGGGATCCGGAATTGCTACAGGTCGAAGAATCTGATCCCTGTAGCCCACACCATTTAAGTTGCCCTGAACAATCACCAAAGGAGTTCTTTGGCGTGCTGGTTATTCCACCCCAAATCATCACGGAACCACCACCAAAAGCGATTCCTCTCAAGACACAGGCCTGTGCATAACGTTCTCCCACGCCTCTATAGGCACTATGGGAAATGTTAAACCTTTGACTCATCTGTAAAACAACATTTCTCCACCAAAACAAGGGTCTGCGGACATGCTTTCGGCACCACATTCGGCGAGCTTGTCGATGACGTTGTGTCAGGATAGGCCGTATGGCGGGACGTCGTGGTCTGATCCCGTAATGACGTAAACGTTGTCGAACTGTGTTGGGGTGGATACGGCGAAGTTCTGGGATGGTTCGGGCAGTCATCACTGCGGTCTGAAAACCTGTGGCGAAGATGGGTCACCCTTATCCATCTGTCCTGTCTTGGCGTTGTTACACGTGGACGTCCAGAACGTGGCCGATCGATGACGTCATTTGTGTTCTGGTAGCGTCTCACCAGTGCAGAAATGGTGTTCCGGTGGCAGTGGAAATGTGCAGCCACTTGTCGTTGAGACATTCCCCCACGGACCATCCCATTGGCCTCATGACGTTGTGCAGACGTGAGCCTTGACATGCTATGCGTTTCAATAGCCGTTTAATTTTTTGAACGATCGCAAGGGCAGGGGTTGAGCTTTCCAAAGTGACAGTATTGTGTGGCATTCATTTGCTCTGTTTCTCTTTCCCGGACTGCACGTGCAGCAACGTATTGCACGTCTCAAAGACGAACCCACTGACGTCACGGAACGTGACACGTGCATGCATGTTGGATACAGGTCACTAATCTCTGAGTTTAAATCCTTATGTGTCTACACAGGATTGATAGATTTAGATTTAAAATTTGTGTATGCACAGTTTCTTTATGTGCCTAGTATATATAGCGACGCCATAGATTCCAACCTAAAATACATATAAAAATTAGTTATATGTTAACTGCCCAAGAACAGATTTATTCTGGTCTATTTTGGCGTATCCGGAAGTGCCCGTTTCAGATAAAGATACATAGATTCACACGAAGCAATGCATTCCGTGTGCAGCGTATGCCTCTCTAGAGGTCTCCCTTGTCCCATTACTGTAAGTCTTCATGGTCCCTACTATGGTGATCAGCCTTCAGTTGGTGATCTATAGCCCGTTTCTATTTTGTACTGTTGTCTATAGTGATATATTTTAATGATAGCGTACTTAGTTTAAATTAATACCTGTGATACTCTAGTATTTGTACTGTCCTTCGATGACATTTTTTTCTTTCTAAATGTATTGATTTTAATATTGATATAAATGAAAATGATTTCGTCACGATATGGCTGAAATATCGCCGATGTGACGCTAAATGTCTTAACTCACTCACTCTCTTGGCACATAGACTTTCTAATAGTTGATTAGTTGCTGCCCGTGCGTTTCTGGATCGTACTCAGTACATAACACACACTTCACTTGCAGCAACACAGCAGCACAAGGCCTATTGAAAACAATCTGTAATGTGAGTTAAAATCTATACTAACATCGACAGTATTCAGCCATGAGTACAATGAGGATACATTGATAAAAAATACATTTAAACCATATAAAACCTGTTAACAAAGGGAAGCACAATAGTGAGTGAGTGAGCTAAAATTTAACGTCACATCGGCAATATTTCAGCCATCCTCGTGACGAGAACAATCAATTTTCTACATAGTATGTAATGATAAACTGTAAAGCCTGTCAACGAAGGACAGTAAAATAACTAGATAATCACAGATTCGAAATTAAAACCAGCAATTACATCTAAAACACTTTTAACTATAGGGGACAACACAATATAAAACGGGCTATAGATCACCAACAACTGAAGGTAGATCACCACACCAGGGACCATGGGGACTTACAGTACATTTGCTTCCTGCATGGGCCCTAGCTGGATTTACACCATCCCCTCAGCTGTTAGCAATTGAGATATATCTAGCCATACATTAAAATTACACATATTCTACGATTAAAAAACGGAAAGTTGAAATTTACTTTGAATGTTTTGGGACTTACGTACCCTCTCAGGAGGACAATAATTTTACGGTACTTTAACCCCCCTCGAGGATACAGCCACTAACAATCTGTGTTACAAATTCAAACTTTCAATCATAAAATATTTAGCTATTTACAGATCAGTCAACAAATCTAATTCTTTTAAAAATTCAATTATTAAATGAGAATTAACAGTGTAAAAAAGATCCTTCAATGTTTTGACATTAAAATACTTATCCCTTGTGATGGAATATTCAACACAGTCAAGCAGGACATGCTTAACTGTGATTCTTTCATCACAAGGGATACAAAACGGAGGATCTTCGCCTTTCAGTAAATATTCGTGGGTATACCGAGTGTGGCCAATGCGACATCGGCGCATAATGACCTCTTCAAATCTGGACTGACAACCCAAGTAGGTGTAACCAATGTAGGGTTTTATTGCATGTAATTTATTAATACCTACTTGGGTGTCCCACTTCTTCTGCATGAGATCGCGGATGTATGTTCTAATGCTGGCTTTATAATCAGAGTATGGGATCAGAAGTGGTGTCACAGATTTGTTGAGTGCTGCCTTAGCAGCAATATCAGCCATTGTGTTCCCAGAAATGCCAACGTGACTGGGTAACCAACAAAAGACGATGTCGCATTGGCCAGTAGCAAGTTCATTGTACAATTCAATAATTTCTATTAAAAGTGGATGTTTGCAAGAAAGATTTTAATAGCCTGAAGACACGAAAGAGAATCTGAAAAGATGATACATTGTTTATATTTACGGTGTTTATTAATATATTTAAGAGCTGTTAGTATTGCGTTTGCTTCTGCTGTGAAAATTGAACTGTCATTGGGTAGTCTGGAAGATATTGTTTTGGACCCAATGACAGTGGCACAAGCAACCGCGCCACCATCCTTGGATCCATCTGTATATAAGGATTTATAGTTATTATATTTATTTCTTAATTGACTAAATTCTTGTTTATACTGTAAATCATTAGTTTCGGATTTTTTAAATGTGGTTAATGTTAAGTCAACGTCAGGCCTCACCAATTGCCAAGGAGGAGAAGAAAGAAGACGAGAAGGAGATATATTCTCCAGCTCAATGCCGGCAGCAGAAAGGAATGGTTTAATTCTGTGCCCAAGAGGCGGAACAAGAGAAGGCTTTTTGTTATATAAATCCTCATAAAGAGGAGTGAAGACACAGTGAAACGCAGGATTAGACTCGTTAGAATATAGCTTCGTAATATACTGTAATGATAATTTTATACGGCGTTGAGTAAGAGAAGGCTCATCTGCCTCGACGTAGAGACTGTCAACAGGAGATGTTCTGAAGGACCCAAGACAAAGTCTCAGACCTTGATGGTGGACTGAATCTAAGAGTTTTAGGTTGCTTTTACAGGCTCCACCATAAACGATGGAGCCATAATCAAGCTTCGAGCGGACAAGTGATCTGTAAAGGTGTAGGAGCGTAGCTTGATCCCTCCCACCTTGAATTAGACACGACTTTCAATAAATCAAGTGCCTTCAGGCATTTAGTTTTGAGAGATTTGATATGCGGAAGAAAAGTTAAATGGGAGTCGAAATGAGACCTAAGAACTTGGCCTCTTTTACAACCTTGATGGGAGTGCCATTTAAAAAACAGTTCTGGGTGTTTATGTGGTTTATATTTACGGCAGAAGTGTATGCAATTAGTTTTGATTTAGAAAATTTAAAGCCGTTTTCAAGACACCATTTATGTATTTTATTTAAACACAACTGTAGTTGCCGTTCAATAGTATGCATATTCTTACCGCGACAAGAAATATTAAAATCATCCACAAAAGTGATCCATCAATTGAATCGTTTAAAACCTTGGATAAGCTGTTAATCTTAATGCTAAATAAAGTGACTGACAAAATACTGCCTTGTGGGACACCCTGATCCTGATTGTAATGGTCAGACAGGGTT